GAGAGAGAGAGAGAGAGAGAGAGAGAGAGAGAGAGAGAGAACTCATTCAAGTAGGGGAGGAAGATCTAACGCCGCTTTGCAGGGACAAACCAAGTGGAAGCTTGCGATTGATTGAAGCTTGCGATGGAGTGAATAGGTGCTCTAGACAAGTCAAACACGAGAGGACGTGCTCTCCCTTCGAGATGCCCTACTGACGATATCATAGTCAATAGCACTCGTACTAATCAATCAATCAACCAATCAATCGATTAACAAACCGGATGACAGGTGTCAGAACCGACTGATTTCAGCACCCATGACGCGAAAATCCAGCATCTCGCGTGATTCATCGGATCAGCAAAGAAACGCCTTAGGCATATGCCTGACTAAGGCATGGCCGATGGGCAACAATAAGATCCGACCACCATCGACCATCAACCACAGGCGCATGTAAACACAGCCACCTCATCGGATCAACCTTTCCCGTACTACATCTTCAGTATATCCGTCACCACCGTTGTCACCACTTTATTTACCCTCAACACCGTTTTTCATTTTCCTTTTTTCTTTTTAATCAGCGCAATAGCCGCCTTCGTATATATAAGCCGGAAAAAAATAAAAATAAAAAAAATGCGGTGGCCTTTCACGTGGAGAAGGGTGTCACCTTTCCTTCTCATTGCCCCTCTCGGACCCGACTGATGAGATACATCTCGCAAGATCCACGGTTATAAATAAAACACGACCTCTGACGCTGTATTGCCTCCCGACCTGACCTCCGACGCTGTATTGCTTCCCGACCTGCACGTAGGAATTCTGTTGATTTGTGTTTTTGTGTGAACTCATTATGTTCAGTCAAATGAGCAACTCAAAGAAAAGCGATATAAATAATCAAAGGATTGAATACATTTATATCGTCATAGAGAACTGCTTAGAGGGGGAGAAGAGGACTCGAAAAAGAACAGGATAAATTCCGATAAATATAATCTATATACATCTCCATGAAAAACAGGAGACATAAGTCTACATATAATATAAATATGCATTCCATTAATACGGAAAACGGGATATATATACATGAATATAGTCCCCACTACAAAAAAGAACTCTATATGGATGCATACATAATTATACACAAATGTCTCACACACACAAACACACACACACGCGCGCGCGCGCGCGCGCATGTATATATTTATATTCCGCTCAGGACAGAGGAGGCGGGGGAGGAAGGGCCTTGAGAGGAAAGAAGAGAAGCGAGCGGAGTAGGGAGAAGAAAGGAATAGCGGGAGAAAGAAGACAGTGACGAGGACAACAGGAAAGAGGGGAAGCGAAAAACGATAAACAAGGAAGACGAAAAGAGAGGATGGAGGAGAAAAGAGGAGGAGAAGGAAAGGGAGAAGGTGAGGGAGAAGGAGAGAAGGAGAGGCAGAAAGACAGGGAGAAGGAACGGCAGAAAGAGGACTAAGGGGGAAGTGACGAGTAGGAGGAGGAGGAAGAGGGGGAATGCCGCATCATTCAAAAGAACTTCTTCAAGATAGAAAGTGAATGATGCAATGGGTCTTAAGCATGACATTTGCTGACCTGCTTGAGCCTGTTCCTGAGGCGTTCCGCTCTGCTTCAGCACCTCCAAATCGACCAGATCCAGAGACATTAAGCCCAATGTCAACCCTGACATCAACCCTGCAAAAACTACCAGGAGCGTACATATTGCGCAGTACACCCAGAACTCTGGTGACCCGAACAGCACATCCACGTGATTCCCTTGACTATCGCACTGCTGCGAGAACAAATTCGATAGCAGCCCCACCGACGCTGCCCCTGACATCACTGTCGCGCTCAGCGATCTAGCTATCGGTCTACTAGTAGTCATTACTCTCCCCATCTCTGTGTGTGTGTGTGTGTGTGTGTGTGTGTGTGTGTGTGTGTGTGTGTGTGTGTGTGTGTGTGTGCGTGCGCGTATGTATGTTTGTTTGTTTGTATGTATGTATGTATGTATGTATGTATGTATGTATGTATGTATGTCGGTCTGTCTGTTGTTTGTCTGCCTATCTGTCGGTCTGTCTGTTGTCTGTCTGCGTATCTGTATACATGTGTGCCAGAGTATGTATGTATTTATCAATCTGTCTATGGCTACTTCTACTATGTATCTCTCTATCTACCCATCTGCCTGACTCACCCGATTGCTCTCCCTTTCTACCCTCTAGCTCCTTCTACGTACATACAGGCACGACGCTGTTTCTGTCAACACCCCAACGTTCGCTTTTGCTTTTCGCGTTTCCAATGTTAGGTTGCTACTCACAACTCACAACAGGGCAGCATCTCTCTCTCTCTCTCTCTCTCTCTCTCTCTCTCTCTCTCTCTCTCTCTCTCTCTCTCTCTCTCT